TGCAAATTCCTCCTCCCTAATGAGGATCCCTGCAAAATACCCAGTGTCTGCCTACCAGATACACTCCAAACCTAAAGGGGACAATGTACCATGGTGTTCTGAGACAGTGGGAGTCCTAAAAATATAGGAATGCTTGAAAAAATATTGTCAGTAGCAGTGTTCTGGTGCCATGAATCATAACTCTGTGTCAGAAAAACTTGTAGGAGAGGGAAAGGAACATGGCCCAGAGGAAAGACACTTTTCCTTCTCTCCCAAGAAGCCAAATGGATAACAAAGGAAAGCAGAATGTTCCTTGAAGCTTTAGTGAAATATTTTATTTTAACAGAATAAAAGAAGTCTCACAAGAGACTTTGCTTTAGTACATGCAAAGGGTAAAGGTTGCATACTGTGGTGGAATTTCACTCTGAGCAGTTGGGACACAGGGTGAGTGTCTCACAAGGAAGAGACAACTAGGATTAAACTCATTTAATATATGATGGCTATCTGGGAACAAAATCTATTTATAGGTGGTCTTTGTGCCTTAATTCCCAGTGTGTACAGGAGATGGGACGGATGAATCACCCTGAACACGGTTATGTGGGGAGCAATTGCTTGATTTTTGACATATTCTCATATACTTCATGGCTGGGTAAAAAGATCTGGTGTATGCCATTGTCCTGATGATATACTTCAGATGGAGTGACTTTTTTATATAACAAATGCCATGCTAAGCCAGACCAAAGGCCTTTTGCAGATGGGATGTTTGTGTCTTGAAGCTGTCACTCCCATGAAACCTTCCTAAAAACATCCCTTTCCAAACATGCCTTATTTTCTGTTGGGTTTAAATCATTACTCTCCAAAGTCACTGGCCTGTTTATTAGGTCTGGCAGCCACTGATGAACTTACTCCTTACAAATTTGCCTATTTCCTTTTGAATCCATTAAAATTTTTGGCCAAGGGCACTGCAGCTTGCAAAGAGAGATGTCTCTGGAGTGCTTGAAACCACCTACTTGGCAATTCCAGACATTAATTTGTTCTGCCTTTTTAATGTGAACTGGTGACCAGTTTATTCTAATTTACTCTCCTTTGGTGATTTTGCAAATTTCTGTTTTAACTGTGTGTAAAACAGAGATTTCACACCAATGCAATGGCAATTGGCATTTTGTAAATATCTTTCCAGCTGGCACTTAGTCTAATCTGAAGGCAAAAGCCTTTGTAGTCATACTGGAGTCAACACAATATTTAAAAGTGTTGCTTGTGGGCAAAGAGGAGCAAGGTTGTCTACCACAGAACCAGTTAATGATCTTGCTGGGTCTGAATTTTACTACTTCAGCACCACACAGGTCTCTCATCTGGATACCCCGTGGCTATCTGCTCCTCGACTGCCACCCCAGAACCAACTGGACGACGACTGCAGAGAAAGATGTTCTGCTTTCAAACAGAGGAGAGACTGAGCCTTTGTAAAAAATGCCTGGCACAGAAGTGATTCCTGATCATCTTCCAGGCTCCATTTGTCATGAGCATGAGTTATATTTTCCTTTCTCAGTCAAGAGCCCCAGGAAATGCACAGCACAACTGAATTAGTTGATCCCAGTGGCTGTCAATTTTTGCAGGAGTTAATTGCACAGTTGGAGAGTAACAAATTAAGGGCCCAGAGTCAGAAAGGCTTATGTACACACTGATTTCAAAGCTTGTGAGCTGATGTTCTGGGAAGCAGAAGAGAAATGCAATTTTGAAACAGACAAACAGTGGAAAAAGCTTCTGTGAAGGTGCTAAAATGTGCTTTAAAAGTATTGACTTCCTCAAAATCCTTGTCCCTTTTCTCCTGCCGTTTTTGGGCATGATTCAGAACTGAAAGTGGAGGGCTGTGGCACATCTCTGGGATAGGAAAAGGCATCCTTATGCAACAGAGTGGTTTGCACATTCCTATGTGTGCAGAAAGGGGTAAAGAAATGGGATGGTGTGCAATGAGAAGTGTCTGTGCTGCTCCACAAAAGGTCAATCCTGTGCCATGCCCAGATCTCCCCTGAAGCCTGGTGTCTCTGGCACACCTCATCACAGAGGGATTTTGAGATAGAAGAGAAAGAAAAAGGCAATTTTTAAGGTAAATTGTTGAGGGTCCGGGCAGGAGAAGTTCTGACCCATCTGATTTATTGCACTTCACCCGTTTGAGTGGTTTGTCCCTCTCTGCAGGCTTGCTCATAGCTGTAAGTTTGGTGTGTGAGACGTGTGGCTTTAGTTACTGCTGGGTTGGTCTCTCCGCTGATGTAACTCCACCGAGGCTTGCTGATGTGCAAAGCTCTTGGCACCCTGCTCCCGGTTTTCCTCTCTGCCTCCCTGGCTCTCTCCAGTCTCCTCCTTTCACTCCAGGGGTGTAACCTGGCAATCCTCCTCCGTGCTTCCTCGGCGAGGTGCTGGGCTGCTCTGGATGCAGCTGACCTTTGCAAGCAGGCTTTGGGGGCTTTGCTCTGTCCTCCTGCCTTTCTTCACGGACGCGTTTTTCCTGCGTGACTCACACATTCCCCGTGACATTTTCTGCTTGTGAGTCCCAGACCTCCTCCTGATTTCCTTTCTAAGTGATCCCACCTTGGACGGAGCTGGAGCTGTGCCTAGGGCTGGGGCTTTGCCTTCCACCCTCCATTCTCTGTTGTCACCTTTTACATGCTCCTTCCACCCATCCTGTGGCTGAGCCACAAAAAGTCAGGGGCCGCTCTGGAAGGTGACGCTGAACTAGAACACAATCACAGAAAAAATAAAAATGGCAGAGAGGGAGATGTGCACACTAAGGTGCACATTCTTTTTTGGGGATATGATAGCTCTGCTATGTCTTGGCCATGCAGTTTTTTTAATGTTTGCTCTATTTGTCTTGGAATATTTGCTTTCCCTCCAGGCTGCTGGGGTCAAACAGCTTGGCAGGGGCTGGTGGGGAGGAGGGTGGAGGGGACAATTCTCCATGCCATTCTATTATGAAAAGGTGACTGATATCAGGGATTTTATTCACTTTAATGAGCTGACAAAGTTATCAAGGGGAAAATCAAGTTCCAGCTGAACCAGAATGTAAGTTATTCAGCATTCGAAGGAGCAATGGGGGTAAAAAGCAGTGCAGTAATTTGGATTAATTTGAATACTCTGTGATGCTGAACAAAATAGTTTTGCTTTTGTTGTTTTGTACTGTTTCAAATCAACATATTTTCTTCCAAAAGTGGCTCAAGTTGAAAAAAAAAAAAAAAGCTTAAATCAAACTTCCAAAATTTTGTTTAAAATTGTCCAAGTGTCAATGCTTCTTTTTCCAAGAATGTCACATTTTATTCTAGAAAGTCCTGGGGATTGAGGGAGGTGGGGCAGGGAGAGAGGAATTATTCTCAGCCAGAAGAAAATGTTTTGGGCTAAGCAAGCACTCATAAGCCATAAGTTGTAAACTGAATTTGTACAGTGATTTCAGTGTCACCAAAACCGTACCACCTGGCAACTTCACAGCATCACGGCTTTGCTGTGTAAGATGTCAGCAGTTCAGCCTGGAAAAGAAGGCTGAATATACAGAGCAGAATCCACAGAGCAGACACTGAGCTCTAGGACCCTCTGAAGATGTCTTAATTTCTCCAATCAATTTACAGAGCCTTTCACACATACAAAAAAAAAAAAAAAAAAAAAGCTGCCAACTCATTTTTTAAACCAGATTATTTTTTTTTTAGAAGAGAGGGACTTAAACTGATTTTTCAGCATGAGAACTTTGCCATGCAGTAGAGTTTTCAGCATTCCTGTAAAGCTACCCACAGACCCATCCTTTGGAAGATCAGGCAGGCTCCTGAACATGGGTGATCAGCCTGCATTTCACTGGCTTTATTCTTCTTTCAGGTCGTGGCTGCTGGGTTTACCTGGAGTCAGGAAGAGCCACTTCCACCCTGGTCCTGCAGATGGTGCCAGGGAAGAAGCTGGAAAATGCCCTCTGGTGTGGAGGTAAGTCTTGACCTGTCAGGTGCCTGGGATCTCCCAGATATTCTTGAAAAACTGCCCACGGTTCCTCCCTCTCATTTAAATAACTTGATTTTTTTGTTGTTGTTGGTTTTTTTTTTTTTTTTTTTTTTTTTTTTTTTTTTTTTTTTTTTTTTTTTTTTTTTTTTTTTCCAGTTTGTGTCTTGGTGTCTAAGTTGTAGCTACAGACACCTGAACAAACATGCTCTTAATCGAGATCAGTTTGTGAGGAGAGTTATTACAAGCTTGTAGCAGGTCCTGCTGGCCATAAGACAGAGGAAGCCTTACACAGCAGCTTCCTTGTCTCTAGATAAACTCAAGATGAAACTCATCCGAAGACACTCCTTTCTTCTGCACATTTTCTGCTCATGCTGTGTCAAACCCAATTATCATCATCATCCCAGCTCTGTCACACTCTATAAATACAAGCCTAAATAAACCAACCAGCACAGCCAATTTCTGTGCAGGGAAGGATCTCGTTATGGCTCAGCAGAGAGTGCTTTGCAGAGGCTGGGGGCAAAAATAAGTTTTAAGAGTCTCAGGCCCTTCTTTAGAGTCAGAGGCACCTCCTGGGAGCAGCACCTTGTAGTATCTGTGGTTTTCAGCTTGGCTTGGGGCAAGAGAACTCTCACCTCCCTGAAATCAGTAAGGTTTCTAACTCTGTGAGCATGGCACAGGAGTAAATAGCAGCTCCAAGATAAAAATCAGACAAACTGTACCTAACAGTAACTCCAAAACCCCAGAAGTGCAGACTTTCAAAACCTTGCTTTAGCCTCAGGGTGGTAACTGCATACAAGAGAGCCTGGATTTAAAAAACAAAACAAAACAAAACAAAACAAAACAAAACAAAATTACCAAACAAACAAAAAAAAAAAACCAAAAAAAAATTCCCACCAAAAAACCCACAAAACTCTTACTGAAACAAGCTGCAGAAGAGGGAATTACTGTGTGTGTGTAAAAGGAAACACACGAGGGGATATTTTAACCTGCACCTTCCAGCTCCCCCAGCGTGGGCTGGACCCAAAGCCCATAAAAGCAGTGGAAGCTGCCTATAAAGGCAGTGGAAAGCTCTCACTGCCTTCAGGAGAACTGGACCAGGTCCCACGTGAGTTACACCCACCTCAATCCCTGCCATAGCTGGAGATAGCTCTACAAAGAGAGAGCAGGTGGAGGGGTTGGATTTACATGACCTTGCAGTTCACTCTCTGTTTGCAGCTGCTCTTTTAGTCCGGAGGAAGCATCCACATGTTTCCAGAAGAGGAAGGCATTCTGTACCATACACAAGTGTATTTTCATTTAATTTCAAGGTGAGCCACGTGAGAACTTTCTTTGTTTCTTTGAAAATCATGCCTAAAACGTTTTCAGATGTTCCTCACGAAGTCATCTTTGCTCCTGAGGGATTCTACCTCCTTGCCTATGCAGTGAGGGCAGCAGCTGCTTTAACTGGCTTCAAGCAGAAACAGGGATCCAGATTTTCTGGAAATCAGAGGCAAAGGATTTCTACTCTGGCAGCCAAAACAATACAGGCAGACAAAAAAAAAAGAAAAAAAAAAAAAAAAAAAAAGCAAAAATAGATATCACATGAAGGAGATGGTCTAAACATGCAATGTGCTAAGTGAGGAGACTTGAACGTATGGTGCCTGCTTCAAATTAGATAACTAATTGCCTAATACAGAGTGAAATGAGAGAGTGAAATTAAAAGGAAGAAAAAAAACAACGAAGCCAAACCAAAAGAATCAAAAACCTGTTGGTTGCCCCTGACATGCTTTAATTTTGCTTCTGCTACCTTGGTTATTTGCTGAGAGGTTTACTAATACCTCATGGAAACCTTTGCCAGTCTTTCCACATTAGAGCATTTAGAGGAAATATGTTGTACCATATCATTTCATGATCTGTTTCTTTCCTCCCGCTACTCCTACTGTAGAGATTTGCCTGGAACTCTGAAACTGGATTTCTGGCTGCTGTAACCAGGCCTAGCCACATAGACTTTATTAATTGTCTTTGCAGGGCTGAGACCTTGTACCTGTCCTGAACTGTTGCTTTCCCTTGCATGTCAGTGCTTGTAGTGATATGCTCGACTAACATGCCTCGAAACCATGACCTTTTTCCAGGTTGATGAGATCTTTTTCTTCACTGGAGGCTTGTTCCACGAAGTAGATGTCCTGCCAGCACCATCACTTCCAATGTGCTGCATCTCCGAGGAACATGCATCTCACAACTCACCTGATTCTTTGCCCCTGCACTAAAGAAATATGAGATGTAATGGCACATCTGCTGCTGTTCTCTTGGACTTGTTGTACCCTTTGTATGTATAGATTTAACCAGATGTGGGCTCCACAAATAGGGGTGATGGGCTAAGGGCTGTGTTTGGTGGGCTTGTGTCTGTTTAGTTTTGGACTAGTGAGGCAAGCCTAACATATGGTGATGCAGAAATACTAGAGAGCCAAAAAAATAAATAATGGGGCAGTGTTTCCTGCCATTTCCCACCTTGAAATCCTTGTGTGGCCACAAGCTTTCCTTTTAGGGAAAAGCTGTCCAGTTTGCACTGTGATAATGCAATGTGAGATATTCAGCATTCATGAGAGAGTTCGTAAGAGCTCTTGGTTTTCCCTGTAATCAAGCCTGGAATTCACCCTTTCTGTGAGTGTTTTATTATCCTCTATGGTGGTAAATATCCTTGTGTGCATGCTGTGAGCTCTGTGGAAGCTGTTTGCTGTGGAAAGGATGGCCCTGTGGGAAAATGATTGAAGTATGAACTCAGAAAAGAGTGATCTGGCTTTACTGCAGCTTTGCTGTGCAAGCACAAATATCTTGATTTCCCCCTTTTCTTCAGATTCTGCTCCCTTTTCTCACACAATGAAGCCTAACAGCCCTGTATCAACGGCAGGTGCAGGTTCTTGCTGCCAGACATGCAGGATTGCTCTGGTGTCTGCATGAGTCTTTGCAGCTCTGCTGGGTTTATGCAGGATGCCATATGTGTGTATCTCCTTAGAGGTAGTACAGTGGACACCAAAAACCCAGACTGTAGCAATTCTCAATGCCAGAGAGTCCCCACACCAATAAGAATTCATTATTTTTCTTTAAAACATCTGTGGGATGTAAGATGGTGTAAATAGTGCAAAGCAAGGCCCTGTTCATACAAAATGAATTAATTTTCTTTTCTTCATGTGACCAAGCTACAAAGAGGAGAAGCAGCTTGTCCATGGCTTGTATTTCTTCTTGCAGGGTGTCAGGACCCAACTTAGCACCACTTGGTGACTGGCTGGGGCAGTAAAAATTCCTGAGCTATACCTCCAACACACTGAAAAACACTGGTAGAAGAGCCAGCACCCAAAAAAAGCAGTCACCATGCCAGCACCTGCCAGATTGGTTTGGTCTTATGTGCTGCACTGCACATAAGAAGGGTTTGTCACTCCAATACACAAATTATTGACTTTCTACACTTTGTTCCTGAGGACAGCTGTATCTTGGTGGGGGTGACAGGTTTGCATCAAGTGTATTTCTCAATGTTCAAATGCAAATTGAGCCCTGGCTCATTTGCATGCCTGTGGCATCCAGCTGCTTAGTGTATTTTTGGAGCAAAAGCCACACTCAGCCACAGAAATGTTTTCCCATTGCTGCCTCTTTTTCTTTTTGAGCATCACAAAACTCAGGGTGCAAAAAAACCAAACAGGAAGCTGAATAATGTCAGACTGACGTATACTTTCAGCCCCCTGAGGTGTGTCAGGAAGGCTTTTGTGCCAGGTTAGCAAGTGTGATGGAAGTCATGGAGGGGTTCTGAGTCTCCTTGGAGCTTTTCATGTGTGAGAAGAGAAGGCTAGTTACAGTGAGGTGCTTGGTCTTACTAAAAGAGATCTCTTCATCAAAATCTATCCATCATTAATGTCTGAAGAGCAATAAAAGTGGGACATTTGACCATTCTAGATTTCCTAGTCTAATATTTGAAAACATCAGGGCCCATGAGAGTTTCCTGGCTCATAAATAACAACAAAAAGAGTTTAGCCATTACTGCTTCAGGATCTAGCCTTTTCAATCTGTGTGGCATTGAAGACTGTGATGTGATCAGCTCAACTAGAATGATCCCCAGACAGGTTGGGATCTCTGCCCAGTCTCTGCTGGCCTCTGTGGAGCCACCCTTCACTTCTGAGTCAAAATTTTAATGAGGTAAATGGGAATCTACAATCAAAGCTCAGGTTGGTGATGGTGGTCTGGAGCCTGTTCCACTTTGTACTGCAAGGTCTCTGTTGCTTAGACAGCTTCCAACACTGGAAAAAATTTGGAAGCCTTTGCCATTTTATTTTGAATTCACAAATAAGAGAAGCTTGGGATGGGTGGGATGTAGCTGGATGCTTAGTTTTGAAGGTGAAGTCACAATGGTGAAGTGAGCACTCTGTTTTCCTTTGCCTTTTCTCACCCCAGGCAATTCCAAACCAAGGGCCCCAAAACTAAAAGAGGGCTCAAAAATAGAAGTGAATCAAGTGCAGGCAGCTGCAAGAGTGAATCCCACTGACTCTCATAGCTCAATGCCAGAAATTGCTTGGTGGGTTATCTATTACTAGGTAAAGCTTGTAATTTGTGTGTTGCTGTAGTCAGCTCAGTGGGATTTTGGGACAAAAAGCTGCCTTATGCTACATATAACTTGGAAGTTTGTGGCTTTTACAGAACTTGCCATTCAGTGGTGAAAAGGGATTTGTAAAAGGGAGGGAAGGGCTGGGACTTTGAACTTGGGGTCCATGGGCAAGCTCCTCTGCAGGATAAAACAGTATCTGACCTGCTGTCCTTTCAGGCTGGATTTGTGAGAAGAAGGAGTTATGTGACTCTTTTTATTAGAGCAGAAGTAATAACTTCCACCACTTTTCAGACTTGTGGGGTGAGTCTGCAGCTTCTGCTTTTTCTCCATGGCTTTCTCCAGCTGCAGTTGGATGTGACAAAAATAGGAGAGATGCGAAACAAAGGAGAACTTCACAGCTAAAATAAAACTCAAGAAAAACTTGTTCTCTTGTCACAGTTTTGGAATCTATTTGAGAAATGGTGAAGCTATTTTTAAAGACTACGTTTGAAAAAAAAGGGGTGACATTGGTATAAAGAATGACAATTATATACCCTGGCCCTGCAGCCTAGAGTAGGGAGGATTATTAGAGGAGGTAAATAGATTGTGAAATCTATGAGTAATATTTCTCTGTTGAAATATTCTGGCTTTCTGATAAGATGTTTCCAGTTTAAAAGCTTCAGCTGCCAAAGCTGTATAATTTCTACTGGGGAAAATATTCTGACTGGTTATTGTGCTGAAGTATATTTTTGATTTTTCACCCCTTCTATGAGGGACATAAAGACAACCTATGTCCCTTAAATCCTAATTTCTCTCTTTCCCCACTTTAGTCATATGCTTGCAGAAAAAGCCCTTGAGAATGGAGGCTTTGCCTGCATGGAGGGAAATGCCAGAGGGAAATATGAAGATGCCAAGCTGGAGAAAATGGCTTTAAATTGAGATTACTGTGAGAGTGGAACCTAAATCAAACAGACCCCCCTGTCAATTTGATGTGCTAGGTGTCCAGAGACTGGAGAGGTGTTGTAGGACAGCAGAGCACCTGAAGGACAGCACAAAGGAATTCCAACCAGCCCAGACAGCATATCACTTCGTGGGGAGCTAAACTGAAATGCCTCTGTGTAAACAGACACAGCACAGGGCTCAGGAACTGAGAGGCTGGGATCTTATTGGCATCATATGGAATGGAAGGATAAGGGATCTTCAGGAAGGACAGGGACAAGGAGGGGGTGTCTCCCTCTGTGTCAGTGACCAGCTGGACTAGGGGTGGATGAGGAGCCGGCCCAGAGCTGATGGGTCAGGATTAAAGGAGGGTGAGGGCCAGGTGATGCTGCAGTGGGGTCTGCCACAGGGCGTCCCACCAGCAATGAGCAGATGGGCTCCTCTGGATGCCATGACATCCCATAATTCCATGAAAGGCCGGATTTAAAGTTTTTAGGGCAATGAGGAGGGTCTGCAGCAAAGTCACTGCCCTGGACTGCAGGAGAGCAGCTTTTGGCCTCTTCAGGGATCTGTGTGGTACAGTCCCATGGAATAAAGCCCTGTGCAGGGAACACCAGCCCAAGAAAAAAGGCTGATATTCAAGGATCTACTCTGAGCTCAGGAGCAATGCAGCCCAATGAAGAGGAAGGCAGGCAGAAATCCCAGGAGACCTGTGCAGATAAAAAAGGACAAACTCAAACACAAAAATGAAGTCTGCAGAGGGTGGTAACAAGGAAGGTAGCCTGGGAAGGGCACAGAAAAGTTGTCTGAGAAGCCAGGGATCAGGTTAAAAAAGCTGCCCAAGGGAAACAAGGAAAGCTTTCATCAGTGAAAAAGAGAAGGCTTGGGAAAATTTAGGCCCTCATCAGATAAAAAGGGAGAACTGATTATCTGTGGCATGGAAAAAACTGAAGTACTCAATGATTTTTTTTTGCTCAGTCTTCACCAGGAAGTGTTTCATTCACATCACCTGAGTCTCAGAAGGCAAAGGCAGGAACTGGGAGGATGAAGAGCCACCCTCTGTAGGAAAAGATCAGGTCTAATGTCATTTAAGGAACATGAGGATGACTGGAAGTCCATTGGAACTGATGAGATGTACTCATAGGTTCTCAGGAAACTGGCAGATGAAAGGGCTAGGACACCATCCTTGATATTTGAGGAATCATGTCAGCCTGGTGAAGTTCTCACCAACTGGAAAAGCGGGAGCAAACTCTCAGTTTTTTAAAAAGGGGAATATGGAGGACCCGAGGAGCTACAGGACAGTCAGTCACATCTCAGGGGCAGATCCTCCTGGAAACTGTGCTAAGACACATGAAAGATAAGGAGGAGATTTGTGGCAGCTCTCATGGCTGGAGCTGTTGGAGCAGGTCCAGATGAAAGCCATCAGAGGGAGGAACAACCTCTGCTGTGGAGCCAGGCTGAGAGAGTTGGGGTTCCTCAGTCTGGAGAAGAGAAGCCTCCAGTGAGACCTTAAAGCACCTTCCAGTACCTCAGGGGGTCCTACAAGAGAGCTGGTGAGGGGCTTTCCATGAGGGTATGTAGTGATAGAACAAGGGTCATGGCTTTACACTGAGAGTGTTTATTTCTATTATGGATTTAGGTTCCATAATAGAAATAAATTCTGTACTGTGAGGGTCAGGAGGCACCACAATAGAGAAGCTGTGGATGCCCCATCCCTGGAAGGAAAAAAAAAAAAAAAAAGCACAAAAGAACCAAAACCAAAACAGAAGGAGAACATA